GTTTAGAATTCGACGGCCAACCCCAAACGGTACCGTTTTGAATTTGACGATTCATTTTTTAATTTTTGCCCGTTTAACTGTTGCAGTTATCTTCTTACGGCCACATTTATTGCACATGTCTTTCCAAGGACAACTGTCACACCCATGTCAGTATCTTTACACGGGCCCATTTACGCCCATTTCAATACCTTTGTTCACTTTTATACATTCTCAATTTTGCAAGTGTTTCACCTCAGCTTCGACCACAATAATCATGCATTATATTTCACATCGGCTTCGGTCACAATGACCCAGTATCACACATTTTATTTCGGCTACGGCCATTATGACTCTGGTCATTATATTTTATTATACCTTCGGCCATTATGACTCTGGTCATCATATTTTAAGTCCAGCTCAGCACTTCTGCTTACTTTTACAATTACACTTTTTGATGGGCAAAGTGTTTTACTTCGGCTCCGACCACAGAGACATGTTCTACTTCGGTCCTGGTTACTGCAACCACATGTCACATACTCTACTTCGGCTCCGGCCCTTATGACTCCGGTCATTATATTTTATTACGGCTCCGGCCATTATGACTCCGGTCATCACTTTCCATCACGGCCTTGGCCTTTGTAACTCCAGTTATCATTTTTATCATGACATTGGCTCCATTATAACTTCGATCATCATCTTTTACATTATGAATCCGGTCATTATTTTCACCACGACCACGACCGTGATAGTTCCGGTCATATTCCATTTAAGGCACCCCAGTATGACCTACTGTTATGTATTTCATTATTAGCTACGGCTATGTCTAAATTTAAATTACAGCTTTCTTCCTTATACTTCCATGACTTATCCGTAATTTCTTTGTTCATGCACTCCTCTCATTATCCCAAGCAACATCATTCACAAGTGAATGACTTTGGGGGGGGGGGAATAGTGTAAGGACAGGTCCAAGGTGCCAAGCCTCAGACTGCTACAGTAATTCCTTTATGACTGAAGTGAGAAATGAATCCAAAGCTCCCTGCTCGAATAGCTGCATGACAATGACAATAAGCACGCCCGCACCTGATTCCTTATGACGAGTGGCACAATAAGTATGGTGGATATCCGTGCATCTGAATACCTCTCAAATTCCCGGTCCCGAAATAATCGTCTGGATAGACACATCAGGCTCCGATTGTCCTGCTAAGCAAGCCACGTGGATACCTCACAAAGGCCTATAAATACCCCCAGGGGCCACCTCAGAAAGGTAATTGAAACCAACCTTAAGCTCTTTTTATCTCTGCTCTAAAGGTAGCCCCGATTATTGCTAACTTAAGCATCGGAGTGTCTACCCCGAGTTCCACCTCGGGGCTTTGCAGGTCTTCCCGGAGTGCAAGCGCAGACTGAAGAAGAACTCCTGGTTTGGTGCAATTACAGTGATGTATCCACTTGTACCCAAAATTCTAAAGTTGATTGTTATCGTGGATGCTTTGCAAGTTACCAAGAAAGTGAAGCTCAAGATGGCTGGTTTTTTAGGCATCAACCTGAAAGGAAACCATACAATCTAACATAAGATTGTAACCATTATTTGGTGTTAGATCCTTGAAAAATTCATGACTCCAAGTTTTTGGAAAATCAACCATTTTCACATTCAACTATTACTACAGAAAAGACCATGCACTAGTTACGTGGGAGCATAGTAATGATCACATAATAAATTATTGGACTTTAAAAGATTTTAAATATTGTCTTTTAAAATATTGAACTAAGTGGAATAAATATAATCTACAAACAAAATGAACCACATGTCAAATTTTCAAGTCTGACATTCCTTAGATCCACCCTTCACATGCATTCAAAATTTAAAGTTTGTAAAGGAATAGGAGGTCAATAGAAGAAAATACTATCCTGATAATAATAAGCAAAATACAGGTTAATTTAACAAATCATCTATTAACTTTAATATTCTTTTCAGTTTCATCTATTATTTTGAATTTTTTAAATCATGTCCATTATCTTTCATATTTATTTCAATTTTATCTATTCAGTTATCTTTAATGGAAATGTCGGTTATTTTGATGGAAATCTTCTTAGAATAAGAAAACGTGTAGTCCTTTAACTATATTTTTTTTATCATTTGGTCCTTAAATTTATAGTCACCTTAAAAATAATTTTTATTCTTATTTTGCTAAATGTGTTCCTCTGAAAATTGCTTTACAGAGTGAACTATATGCAATTAGTCCTGTAAAATTATTTAAATGCCCTTAATTTAATTTTTGTATTATTTTTTAGGAAAATTTAAATAATTTTACAAGACAGACTGCATACAATCTGTCTTGCAGTATGTCTTGTAAGATAGATTTATTCTTAAAATTTTTCGTTCTAATCTTATTAAGTTTCTCTATTTGAATCAAAGTTACCAATTTCGTAAAGAAAGAATTGAGAGAATGAGAGGAAGAGAGAGTGTGAGAGCGGACAGAGCACATGGACGATGGACGGCATAGAATTGGGAGCTTTCTAAAAACCAGAGAGTGAACAGACATGGGTAGGTTCAAGATTCATCAACTAGAAGAGCATGGAAGAAGCAGGACTTATGGGGATTCGATAGAAGGGCATATAACCAGGCTGTGAGGAAATAAGCAGGAGAGAAAAAATATGAAGAAAATACTTTTCTTGATTCATTTGCATATACAAAGTGCCTATTTATAGGCCTGTACAAGAGAATATTCTATGGTACAAAATCAATTAATCTAATTATGTCAATCAATTATAATATGAATATAATCATAGCAATGTGGACATAATCAAGGGAGAATATTATGTGACATCCCCCCTCAAACTCAAGGTGGTGAAAAGGAGACCAGCTTGAGTTTGGAAAGAAGAGTGCGGAAGCGTCCAGGAAAATGAGCCATAGTGAAGAGATCTGCAGGTTGATTAGTGGAGCCAATAAAGACAAGGTGGACAGTACCTTTGGCAACATGATGTCGAATAAAATGACAATCAACCTCAATATGTTTTGTGCGTTCATGAAAAACATCATTGTGAGCAATCTGTAAGGCACTTTGATTGTCACAATAAAGATCAGTAAAAGATGGTTGGGAAACACCCATATCCTCCAAGAGCCATCGTAGGGAAAAAAGTTCTGAAGTAGTGTCACCCAAAGCTCTATATTCAGCCTCAGTACTAGAGCGAGATGGAATAGCTTGTTTTTTACTACGCCATGAAATAAGAGAGTTACCAAGAAAGAGACAATAGCCAATAGTGGATCTTCGATCTATAAGATCACCAGCCCAATCAGCATCTGAATATGCACGAACGACAAGGGAAGAATGAGCTGAGAAGTGAAGTCCATGAAATAGTGTTCCCTTAACATGGCGAATAATACGAAGTACAGTAGCATAATGAGTGGAGTGGAGGGCAGCCATAAACTGACTAACAACATGAACTGCATATGCTATGTCTGGGCGTGTCATAGTAAGATAAACCAAACTACCAACCAACTGCTGATAACGAGAAGGGTCAAGGAGTGGGGAACCATCTAATGGTGTGAGCTTGACATTCGGTTCAAGAGGTGTGGAGACATTCTTACTATCAGTGAGATTGGCTTTAGATATGAGATCTGATGCATATTTCATTTGAGAGAGAAGATAACCGGCATCTGAGGATGTAACTTCAAGTCCCAAAAAATAACTCAAAGAGACAAGGTCTTTCATCTCAAATCTGTGGCTGAGAAACTGCTTAAGCTCATCAATCCCTGAAACATCATCTTCAGTGATAATCATATCATCAACATATATGAGTAAGAGAACCATTCCCTGAGCAGATTTACGAACAAATAAAGTTGTATCATGTGGACTAGAGTTGAAACCAAACTCACTTACAGTAGAACTGAATTTTGCAAACCAAGCTCGAGGAGACTGCTTTAAACCATGCAAGGCTCGTCGTAATCGACATACTTTATTCGAAGCAGGAGTAAGTCCAGGAGGCGGTTTCATATAAACCTCATTTTCCAAATCACCATTAAGAAAGGAATTCTTTACATCCATCTGAAACAGCTTCCATTTACGTACAGCAGCAATAGCTAGTAAACTACGTACTGTGGTAAGACGAGCAACAGGAGCAAAGGTCTCCTCATAGTCAATGCCATATTCTTGCGTAAAACCCTTTGCCATCAGACATGCCTTATAGTGCTCCACAGATCCATTAGAATGAGTTTTGATCTTGTATACCCACTTGCATCCAACAAGAGTCTTATCAGGAGGAAGATCAACCAAGTCCCAAGTACTTGTCTTTTCCAAAGCCTGTAATTCCTCTTTCATAGCTTGCTGCCATAAAGGATCTAAAAAAGCTTCCTTGTAGGACTAAGATTCATGTAAAGAGGTGAGTGCGAAAAAACAATGATAATCTTGAAGATATGTAGGTGGATTTCTTACCCATGTAGGATGACTAGAAGAGGAAGTAACTGGTGGATTTTCAATCTCATTTGTTCTAGGTGCAATATCCGCAGAAGAGACATCTTCTAAAACAAGAGCCATGGAAGTTTGATCATTTGAAAGCTAATTAGGAGACCCTGCATCATCATTAGGAAATAACTCAAGGGATGGGTTAGTGAAGATAAGAGGGTGATGAAAAGGAGACACCTTGAATTCAGAAAGAGAAGCAAACATAGTGTGTTCCCAAAAAACAACATGACGAGAGACAAGGAGTTTTTGTGATATTGGATCCTAACAACGATAACCTTTATGTTGTATCCATACCCCAGAAAACAACAAAGTCGAGCTCGAGGCTCTAACTTGTGATGTTCATTAGAAGGTAAAAGAACAAAACAAGCACAACCAAAAATTTTAAGAAGATCATAGGCAGGAAGAATACCATAAAGACACTCATAAGGAGATTTATTTTGTGTGACGATAGAAGGGACTCGATTTATGACATAGACAGCTGTAAGTGTAGCTTCACCCCAAAAACGCTCAGGACATGAAGAGGAAATCAAGAGAGCACGAACCAAGTCCAAAATATGACGATGTTTTCGCTCAACCCACCCATTTTGTTGAGAGGTATATGGACAAGATCTTTGTTGTATTATGCCCTGCTCTTTAAGAAAAGACTGAAATTTAGAATCGAGATATTCAAGAGCATTATCAATTCTCAAGACCTTGATAGTTTTAAAGAATTGAGTCTTGATCATATTAGCAAACTCAACATAAATTTGAGGTGATTCTGAGCGTTTTTTCATCAATATAGCCAAGTGAAGCGAGAATGATCATCAATAAATAACATAAAATATTTTGAATCACCCATGGTAGGAGTGGGAGATGGCCCCCATACGTCAGAATGTACTAAATCAAAAAGTGCAAGTGAAATGGAATCACTTTTATTAAAAGATAAAGCAGGCTATTTAGCAACTTGACATGAGACCCAATGTAAAGATTCTTCTTTAATAGAGCCTAAAGACCCATTTTGAATTAAAGGACGAAGTTTACTAAGAGAGGCATGACCAAGACGAAGATGCCACAAGTGCAAGGAGGAAGATGTTGATATGGCACACAACTGGGAAACATAACTAGAAGGGATGTGCAAGGAGGTGAGCTCAAAAAAATGTCCAACTTTACGGCCTATCCCAAGAAGTTGTCCCGTCTGTAGATCCTGCACACGACAACCATAAGTAGAGAATATTAGTTCAAGACGAAGTTCACATAGTTGTCCCACAGAAATAACATTGAAAGTAAGTTTTGGTATCAGGAAAGTGTTTGGTAAGGTAAGGGTAGAAGTAGAAACTTGACCATATTGGCTAACTTGCATTTGTGAACCATTAGCAGTATGGATAGGAGGTGCGGTGGTGTTAGGAGTTAATGTAGAAAAAAGTGTAGAGTTTGAGGTCATATGATTACAACAACCTGAGTCAAAAATCCAAGAAACTTTACCTGGGATGGTAGGCAAGGCAGTAGATGTAGAGGAAGATGATATCATCTGTCTAAGAAGGGTTTCTAGATTACCATTCGAAAGATGGACTGAGGTATCCTCATTGGCAGTAGTTGCAACAACCACAGGCTTGGAAGACTGATTAGGCTTTGATTGGGTCTTCCACTGATCAGATCTCTGAGGTAGTGAAGTACAATTAGGCGCAATATGGTCTTTCTGCTTGCATTTATGACATTCTATCAAACTGCATTCATATAGAGCATGTTCGTACTTGTTACAGTGCCGACAATACTTCTGTCCTCTCTTACTCGAAGGAAACTTATTGATAGCTGCATCCACAGTAGTATCTCGTTGAGGCTTCAGTAAGCCCAGACGAGTTTCATTAGATAATAATCGTGAGAGAGCACTATCCAAGGTAGGTAAAGGAGACTGATGTAATAAAGAGGCTCTACATGGTTCAAAATCATTAGTAAGTGCCATAAGAAATTGAATTAACCTCATTTTATCACGATACTCAATGTACTTCCCAATATCAGCAGTGTCATTGAAGGTTGGTTTTGAGAGAGCAAGTTGATCCCAAATAGCCTTCATCTTAGCATAAAAACTAGTAATGGACTCTCCACGTTCTTGTTTAAAATTGTGTAACTTTTCCCACAATTGATATTGACTAGATAAATCAGAAGTGGTATACCTAGCTGCAAGCAAATCCCACACTTCCTTAGCTATTTCATACCGTCCAAACTGAAGATGAATGGAAGGAATTGAGGTGTTACGAAACCAAGTGATGATTTGATGATTTTTGCTATCCCAATCCTCCAGACGATCAACATACTTCTTATCTGTCTCATCAGTAACTTTCTATGGAAGTGTAATGTCACCAGTAATATACCGCCATAATTTTCGACCCTTCAAGAAATTGCGCATAGTTTGAGCCCAGAGTATGTAATTTGAGCCATTTAAAATGGTTGAAATTGGCTAGGAAATATCAGATTTCTCCATAATAATAAAAAATATGCTATAAATAAAAGAAAATCTGACCAAGCAGAACACCAAGTCGAAGTGGAACTCTGGAAAAAAAAAATGGCAGCAGTTTCGGAATGCAAAGATCTGCATAATGGTAATTTTGGCTGATCTGCAATTCCGGAAAATCTCCGTGAAAGATCAGAGAAAACTAGTAGAAGAAATAACAGCAATCACGCGAACCGATATATGGCTGGAAACACGCGATGCTTGCCGGCACAAAAAATATGAAGAAGAATTAGAGGCACAAAACCTCAAGAAGAACGACAGACAATAAAGAGTTTAGAAAGCTCTGATACCATGTGAGGAAATAAGCAGGAGAGAAAAAATATGAAGAAAATAATTTTCTTGATTCATTTGCATATACAAAGTGCCTATTTATAGGCCTATACAAGAGAATATTCTATGGTACAAAATCAATTAATTTAATTATGTCAATCAATTATAATATAAATATAATCATAGCAATGTGGACATAATCAAGGGAGAATATTCTATAACACAGGCTATTGTATTCTTCTTCACAAACTTCCCAGACGACTGGAGCTATGAATGCATGTGGCATACGTTCCAGAAATATGGCAGAGTTCTAGACATATACAGCCCGATGAGGAAATTGAAGTTGGGGAGTAGATTTGGCTTCGTAAGATTCCTGGATGTCAAAGAATGAGATCGAACTTGAACACCGACTAGACCAAATTACAGTAGGGGCATCTAAGCTTTGGGTTAACAGACCAAAGTTTAGAAAGGAGGAAGAGAGAAGTAGCGCTGATCAAAAGCCAATTGAGAAGGATCATGTCAAACCATGGAGATCTTATGCAAAGGTCCTAAAAGGAAGCCATGGATCAGAAGTTAAGCTAATGAATCAACCGCAGCCAACAATAGGGGTTGGAAGTGATGAATACAAGCAGAATAAAAGAGGTGTGTCCAAAAACCCAACATGAGTATGGAAAGTGAAGAGTAACGATTGTACAAATGCTGGCTTGAAGTTTACAGTAAAAGAAGAGGAACTCCTTTGGCTGAAAGGTTGTTATGTTGGAATTGCTCATTTAGTTGAGCTTATATCGACACTCCAGGAGAAACTCTTCATGGAGGGATATTTTTCATGTAAGGTAAAACCAATGGGAGGATGATTGGTCTTGTTAGAAGGTGGTGATAAGGATGGGATCAAAGATTTGGCAGAATTAGCATCAGAATGGCTGGGGCAATGGTTTGAAGAGGTAAAGCCATGGACTCCAACAATGGTTGCCAAAGAGAGATTTGTGTGGCTTCGATGTCAGGGCTTTCCAACTCATGTCTGGGGACCAGAGTTCTTTGCCACAATAGGGAATGTGTGGGGGAAATTTATATCCTTAGATGACAGTACGAGCAAGAAGAAACAGTTTGATATTGGGCGATTACTAATCTCTACCCCTGTCATGCAATTTATCTCAAAAGCTTTGAATATTAGAGTTAACAGTGAGCCATATTTGATTAAAGTCATGGAAGAAGAAGCCACTAATGGCATCTTTTCTATGCAATCAGACCATGTATTCAAAGAGTTAAGTGATTTAGAGGATTTTAGCTCAGAAGCTTGGTCGTTGAACAGTGATGTTGAAGGAGCTTGTGGTGAATCCGTTCATGGTGGAGGCCAACCCAAGGACAGTTGGAAGGAAGCAGATCACGAGACAGATGAAGATGACATTGAAAGAGGCAATGAGGTGGGAGGTGAGGCTGAAATGGCAGATGACATGGAAACCAGGTATGGGAAACAAGCAACGGATAGAAAGATTTTTGAAATTATGAACGTTGAAGACAAAAGGATGAGTGGTGATGGTTTCGATACACAAACAAGCAATGAGTACCTAGCTGAAGACATTGGGAAAACTCAAAAACTTCTTATCAGTCCTCAAGGGGAGATGGCGGACGATATAGGTTACGTGCCTGATAGTCTGAGTATGCATTTAATGAAGAGTCAGACACAACATTCAAATAATGGAAAAGGGTAAAACAATTGGGCTATCTAACACAGGTCTGGACAAAGAGCAAAAGCAGGAAAAGGTATATGGGCCCACTTATCAAGCCTGTTTAGGAGAGGATGAAAATTGGGCCTTGGAAGATGAAAGCTGGGCCCCAAATATGGGCTTAGATGAGAGAAACGTAAGGTATGGTGGTAAAGAGGTAGCAGTAGAAAGAGAAACGGAGTTCAATGCATTTGAGAAAGATCCAGAGCAACGGCAAGACAAAGGCAGCTTGGTTTGAACAGAGGGTGATGGTGAGGAACACTCTTTTTAGCAAGGATTTGAAAGCGAATCAGGGCAGTTAAAAGCATGGATGGGTAGAAGGGAGAGGAACACCAACAAGCAGAGAAGAAAAAAAACTAGATCCTGTTCTTTAGTATACAATAACTCTAGGAGAGAGACACAGCCATTGACAGAGACAAAGTAGAGAAAACCAAGGAAAAGACGGCAGTTGGAAGAGATGATACCAAATTTCTACCCAAGTGACAAAAATGAGGTTACAGATGTCTCAATTGATGACAGCGGAATCAATAACAGAAATAGGTGCTTGCGGATTGAAACCAGTAACAGAAATGGTGAGCAGGTATGGGATTTTGCCATGAAAATTGGAGTGGTAGATCGAGGAAACAAGGGCGAGATTCTGCAAATGCTAGAGGACATGGAGAAGCAAGATAAAGAAAATTACAGAAGATCAGCGGCTACAGAGGTTGAGTCTGGGGGGAATAGATATGCAGAATTATAATGATTTTTCTGTCAACTAATATTAGAAGATCAGGTGGAGATGGTAAGAAGAGAGGGATCAGAGAATTAGTTGCTCGTGAGAAAGTTGAATACTTATCTATACAGGAATCGAAAATAGAGGTCGTTGACACTCAACTTTGCAAAACTTTATGGGGATCGAACAATTTTGAATGGGTTGCTCAACCCTCAAAAGGTATGGCTGAAGGATTAATTTGTATTTGGAATTCTCAGTTATTGAAAAAGAGTAGAATTATTGAAGGTGAGAATTTTATTGGGGTGTTTGGATTTTGGGGATCAGCTAAAATTCCTGTTCATATTATAAACATCTATGCCCCTTGTGACTTAGCTAGAAAGAGAGTTCTATGGGCTTCCCTCAAAAATCTTGTAACGGATATCGGAGGGAATTGGTGCTTAATGGGGGATTTTAATGCAGTGCGTAATGAGTAGGAAAGGAGGGGAGGAAAGAGCATTAGAAGAGAAATGGTAGAGTTTGATGAATTTATTAATGAGTGTGGCCTAATTGACTTGCCCCTAATTGGTAGAAAATTTACATGGTATCAAACCAGTGGAACGTCGATGAGTAGGCTGGATAATTTTTGCTCATAGATGAATGGTGCCTTAATTGGGAGAATGCTAAACAATGAGGCTTGAACTGCTCTTATTTTGATCACTGCCCAATAGTGCTAAAAAATTAGATCATGGATTGGGGTCCAAAACCATTCCGTTTCTTTGATGCATGGCTTGAATCCCCTGAGTTTAAAGATATAGTGACTGATGTATGGAAATCAATAGTAGTAGGTGGTTGGAATGGGTACCGATTGAAAAAGAAATTGAAAGAAACAAAGAAGGTACTTAAAGCTTGGAGCAAGAACATGGTGTCAGAGATAGATTTAAAGATCCAACAGAGCATTGAAGCTATAGCTAGTACTGATAAAAAAGGAGAGGTGCTGCTATTGTCTATAGAAGATGTTGAGGTTAGAAGGACAAATTTTCAAAATCTATGGAAAAATCAGAGGATTAAGGAAAGCATGTGGCGCCAAAAAGCTAGAAAGACCTAGATAAGGGAAGGGGATGCTAATACAAAATTTTTCCATAAGTGTGAGAAAGGAAGAAGAAGAAGAAATGATATAGTGAGCATCATGGTGGGTAATGAGAGATTGGAAGAGGTTAAGGAAATAAAAGAAGGCATGGCAAACCATTTTGAAAACCTGTTTAAGGAAGAGAATTGGCAACATCCAACTTTAGATGGGATTGAATTTAACAAGATTTCAGCAGAGGAAGGGTTAGTGTTGGAAGCACAGTTCAATGAGGAGGAGGTTAAGCAAGCGGTTTAGAGTTGCGAGAGTTCGAAGGCATCGGGTCCTAATGGGTTCAACTTCAAATTTATCAAGGAAATGTGGGAGGTTCTCAAAGGTGACATTTTGGGGTTTGTGGATGATTTTCATAAGAATGGAAAACTGGTTAGAAGGATTAACAGTTCTTTCATTGTGCTAGTGCCAAAAGTTGACAACCCACAAAGAATTGATGAATTTAGGCCAATCTCACTTGTTGGTGCCATGTATAAGATTATTGCAAAATTGTTAGCACACAGATTGTCTTCGGTTCTGAATGGTATTATTGGGGAAAACCAGATGGCTTTTCTTGGGGGAAGGCAACTTGTTGACAGTGTGGTGATAGCAAATGAGACAATAGATGATGCTCAAAAAAGGAAAAAAGCAAGTTTTGTATTTAAACTTGACTTTGAAAAGGCTTATAATAAAGTCTACTGGGAGTTCTTGAATTATATGATGCTGAGATTGGGATTTGGCCAAAAATGGAGAGGGTGGATTGAAGAATGTCTGAAGATAGCAAAGGTATCTATATTACTCAATGGCAGCACCACTAGACAATTTAAGATGCACAAAGGACTTAAACAAGGTGACCCTCTATACCCCTTCTTATTTTTGATAATTGCCAAGGGTCTTAACGGCATCATCTCCTCAGTAGTCTCACTTGGATTATTTGAGGGGATTGAAATTGGTCATCGCGATATGAAAGTCTCCCATCTACAATTTGCAGATGACACAATTATGTTTGAGACAGCCTTGGAAGAGAATATTTGGGCAGCAAAAAGTATTACAAGTATTTTTGAGATTGTGTCAGGGCTGAAGATTAACTTTGGCAAAAGCTTGCTATTGCGTATCAATGTATCAGATGAATGGGTGAATAAAATGTCATTTATCTTGAACTGCAAACAAGGAGTTCTACCTTGCAAATATCTAGGGGTGCCGATTGGGGGAAAAGGTAGAAGTATTGCTATGTGGAAACCTATCATCGAATCTTTTAAGAAGAAACTTGCAAGCTGGAAAAGCAGATTCATCTCCCTTGGTGGAAGGATAACGCTCCTCAATTCCGTGCTATCTAGCCTTCCAGTGTTCACCATGTCTATCCATCTACTTCCAAAAGGTGTGATTCTCTTACTTGATAAAATTCGTAGAAGCTTCCTTTGGGGGGGTGGGGAGGGTAGTAGGAAGATTAATTGGGTTTGTTGGGAAAATATATGTAGAGGCAAAATGGAGGGAGGGTTTGGTGTCAAGGATCTAAGAAAGTTTAATCTAGCATTATTAGGAAAGTGGTGGAATAGGCTAGCAAGGGGAGAGGAAGATTTCCTCTACAGGGTTATCTGTGAAAAATATGGGAGTGCAGGAGGTAATTGGTTGAATTGGATTACAAAAAAAAAAAAAAACAAGAGGGGGTCCTTATGGTGGAGGGATGTTTGTCGGTTAGACTATTTGCACCCTAGTAAGGCTTGTTGGCTCTCAAAAGGATTTAGACTAAAACTAGGGGAGGGTAATTCTGTTAGCTTTTGGAAGGATGTATGGATAGAAGATATGACCATAGCTGACAAATTCCCAAGATTATTTTTGAATTCTTCAGGGAAAACAAAGAACATATCCCAAATGGGATACTAGAACAATGGAAACTGGATGTGGTCACTGCAATGGAGGAGAACTATCTTCTCTAGGGAAGAGGAACAGACGTCGGAGCTATGGAGCCTATTGGAGACAACCAAATCGACTAAGGGACACAAGGACAGATGGGAGTGGAAGCATGATGGTGGAGCATACTCTGTTAAATCAGGATATTATGTCCTCTCCAATAACCAACAACAAAGTAAAAACTATTTGTATGGAAGAGTTTGGTGCAAACTAGTCCCAACAAAAATTAGTGCATTTGTGTGGAAAGTCTCACAAGATAAAATCCCCTCGAAGTTGAATTTATACGAAAGAGGTATTATTTTCAAAACTAGCTAGGTTACATGTAACTTTTGCAGGGAGAACATTAAAGATACAAATCATTTTCTTCATTGTAAAACTGCACATTCTGTGTGGATAAAATGTCTTCAATGGTGGAGGATTACCTTGGTAAGTGCTGATAATTGTTGGGCATCTTTTGAGCAACATTTATCCATTTTCAAAGATGTTAAAATCAGAGTCGGGTGGGATGTAGTATGGTTTACAATAATCTGGTCTCTTTGGGCTGCTAGGAATGAAAAGATTTTCAAAATCAGGAGCATTATGTTAGTAGGATTTTTGAACTTGTGCAGCTAAGGACATTCCATTGAATTAAAAGCAGAATAGCGGAATACTCTTTAACATAGCAAATTGGATTTTGGACCCAGTGAAATGCTTGAAAGATAAATGAAGTAAATGAATTGGTATTGGCGTAGACTTGGGAGAAAGAGTGATAGAGTAGAGTGTCGACACCAAACAGGAGGACTAAGCATCCAGAATCCCAACACGGAAGTGGTGTCGACACCAGATAAAAGGGCTGAGCATCCAGAATCCTGACACGGACCTGGTGTCGATAGCAAAGTTTGGTGTCGACACCAAATGAAAAGGCTGAGCATCCGGAATCCCGACACGGATGTGGTGTTGACACATAATTTTAGTGTTGACACCAAACGGAAGCGATATTCAATTATGTAAATCTATGCCTTTCAAATTGGAATGTTTATGGTTTTGGGGTACTCCTTGTACTCCATCTTTTTTCAATAAATATTACTTTTTCTGTTAAAAAAAAAAAAAGTTACCAATTTCATACTGTACTGGTCAGTACGACTAGTACGTACCGGTTTTCTGCATTGACCAAAACAGTATAATATGAAAATCTATTTCAATCAAAATCTGGGTGATTCGGTTAAAATCCGATGTCAATACACCGTAATTTCAGTTGGTACACACTATGACAAATTTAAAAAAAAAAAAAAAAAAAAAAAAAAGGATTCCCTAGCCCAAAACGAAGTGGTTTTGGGCTAGGGGCTTCTTACTCTTAATTACCCTACAATTGCAATTTCAAATTTAGCAAAAATCTTTTCAAAAAGGAAATGAAAGAAAGAAAGAAAAAGATAAATAAAGAAAACAAGGGAAGGAAAGAAACAATTTTCACAAACCAAAAAAGAAAAAAAATCTGAGAACAGTTTCTCAGCTCAGCTCTGGCGACTAGTAGAGTAGAGGGAAGGAAGATTTTTTTGAAACACAAATTAGCAAAGGTTAAATGTCAATTTTAGTCCTTCAACTTTAGAACTTTACATAATTTTCATCCCTCAACTATTTGATATTTGATATTTAATTTATAAAAATATATATTTATACCAATAAATCCAAAATGGTAAGCGAAAAATTTCGATATCTGGTACGTATCGTTTCAAAAGCAAAACTAATACGCATACTGGTATGGTATTAACTACTTTGGTTTAAATTGAGTTAGTTGCTCAAGTTTATTACAAATTTTAACTAATTTATCTCTATAAAATATTTCTTGCGTTACCATATTTTATTATGACTATAGTGTCACTTTTTCAAAACTTAAAAATTACTTTTTCTTTCAGTTAAATCTAACAAAATTTTGTACAGTTGACTATTTTGAAATTTTCTCCAAAGTTTATAGATCATTTAAAAAGAAAATAAATTTTCTAGACTAAAATGAAATTAAGCTAATAGTTAATAGATTAAAAATAAAATTAAACCAGCAAAATACTATCCCTTGATACACTGCCTCAGTTCTAAAAAATTTCGTGAACCCCCACTTGCCCTAAAAGTGCGTAATTCATCAAGAGTGAATAAAGCAAGAAAGAGAGGTATAGAAGGTCAAAAGTTTCATGAAATGAATTACGGAAATACAAGTTTAAAGTGTAATGGAAGAAAACTTAACTCATTCAATACACATCATTTCTTTTTTTAACATTTCTATTGGAAAAATAGGAGGTTAGAAAATAGATCATTAGATCAATGACTTCAAGGCGTGCTGCAAATGCCACTTTCTTTTAGGCTAATTTTGCCCCCACCAAATCTGGTATACAAAGAGGGTAACCTGAAATGCCCATAGGGTACAATGAAGCGCCTTGTTGATCTCGCATTTGCACTAGCAAGATCAACCATTGAACCATCATTTGGAAAGCGACAAAACAATAGTTTTTGTATAGGGATTTCTCGAGCAATCGCAATACAAAAAGGGACTATTTTATTTAGATATTTCTGGGTTCAAAAAGACTCTACCAGAGAATAAGAGATAACTCCATATTTATAGGGTAAGATGTATGTTGGAATAGACACTTCTTTTCCAGATGTCTATTGGGAACAAACACTTCTTTTCAATTTTTATCCGTTGGAAACTCTTCCAAAAGTCATTTGGTTTGATTTGAATTCCAACTCACGTGTTTCCTTGCCTTTCAAAGTTATCCACTCTCTTCAGAAACTTATCTGAATTTTATCTCTTATTCTGACGTAAATGGTTCGAACCAGATAAATGTGATTCGAACCAAAATTGTAAATTTTCGGATTCTGGTTTTACATAAATGATTCAAATCATATTTCTCAAATACATTATGTGCAATTGTTTTGAACCAACTTTTTATGATTCGAACCCAAATCCTCGACATATTTTGAAAATTCTTCAACAATTTCTTGGGAAGGACAATAGGAAGACTTAGGAAGTTCCCTGGAGTTTATCAGAACCAAGAGAATGGCAATTACTTGGAAGTTTCTTGTAAGCAAAGACTTGACTTGAAGCAGTGCCCCGACAACATTTAGCACTTTCTGTAGCGAAGTTGACTATGATTGCAATAGAAAGACTTGGAAGGTTCCATGGAATTTGTTGGAACCGCAGGAATGGCAATTACTTGGAAGTTTATTGTTAGCAAAGAAAACCTTTAATTTCCAATGACATTTGGGACGTACGTTCTGTAGCTAATGAATGCAATTGGAAGACTTGTGGGAAGTTTCATGAAGTTTAACGAAACCAGAGGAGTGGCAATGACGCGGAACTTTATTGTAAGCAAAGACTTGACTTGATGTGGCCCCCGACGACATTAAGAATTTTCTCTCGCAAACTTAACCATGAAATGTTAGACTAAAAAATTGTTCATGCAATTTATTTCCCGCTCTTTTCAAATTGACACTACTTTCTAAATAAGAAAGAAATTATAAAAAAATGATCCTATAGTGATATTCTTCCCGAATATATCTGTGAAAAAGTTTCCAAGGATGTTGGTGTAAGAAATTGAGTGTATCATATGCATGCATATTGTAGCTTTGCAAAAGGGCCATATGCATGCATATTGTAGCTCTGCAAAAGGGCCAACTCTGTTATTTCAAAATTTACTGGCAAGCACAGCTTCGACACTCATTAAGATGACTTCTGTAATCAAATTAATCCTTCCCAAGTAAATAAATGGCTTATTTACCTCTCCCCGAATATTGATCTAAATGGTAACATCATCTCTGTCTCCGTTTCTTTTCTTCTTCCCTATCCAAACTGGAGCACCTAACAAAGACAACAAAAGGTTCAATGCTTCAAGCAAGTAAACATGGCCAAATTATCAATTTAATATGCATCAGAAATTTCACTTTTTGATTCGCAGAAACAGCAAAACTGCAAATAGGATGGTGAAAACCATAAAAGAAATGATAGCCAATTTAGGGAGTTCAACAATCTTTTTCATTAGAATCACCTTTCCAAATAGGATGGATTTCATCATGTTACCATTATATATAAAAAATTGGAAAAAGAGATATCAGAAGGGAGGAGGAATAACAATTAAGAGAGGAAGTTGTGAATATCTTATTTTATGGTTGAAGGATCCAAGCAATTAAGAGATCAAAGTCTGATCCTTTTTTTTTTCAGTTTATCAATGTGATCTGTTCTAGCTCACAAGTATCAATAACCTGTTTTGGTTATTTGTCTATTGCATTTTAATTTTATGGAGGAAACTCAAATTCCTGCCACCTTTGAAAACATCAGGGCATTAGAAATACTAGATCTCTCTGGTAAGTACAACTTGATACTCTTTTTATGCTTACATTTTTGAATGTTTCATTCAATAATCTATCAAGAATCCTGGTCTTGGTGAATCATTAGTAAAGAAATTTGATGACGTTACAAATTAGTCATCCTGTTTCTTCCTAAGGTCACTTTATTTATACAGTAGGGTACTACAGTTTTTGTGATTCAGCTCAGGTCCACCGTGTCCATTGTCTAATGGCTAGGCAAGGCAGGCCGACCTTTTACTAACAATATGATTATTGTTACGAGGGAAAAGATTGACCTTTAATTTTTTTTTTTTTGTTGGAAAAGATATTGAAAATTAAATTTTTAATTAAAATTTTGAAAATTCATCTATTAGATTAAAATTTTATTTATATACATCATGCATCTATTGTAATGGTTACCATTAGCACATTATGATTATTTTGATGTAATGCAAAGGTTACCACTAAAAGTCTAATTGTAATTTTTTCAATTTAATTACCAAAGATATTGCAGTCAAACCCCTTCGAACAACTTAAGATGATAACATCATAAATAAATAAACGTAAATAAATGTCTTAATTATCTCTCCCTGAACACTAATCTACATGGTAACATCATCTCTGTCTTCTTTTCTTCTTCCCTATCCAAACTGGAGCATGTAACAAATATTTCCTCCGTCCCATAATAATAAACCTTTTTGATTTTATTTTTAGATTAAAGATTTAGGGATAATTTATGTTTTTACCTATATTATTCTTAAAAAAGAAGATAAAGATAAAGAGATACTCCCTTTATTCATTTTTAGTCGTCTTAGTTTGATTTTTTAACTTTTTAGATATTAAATTTAGATGAAAATTTGACATATTATATAAATAATAATTGAAATTTTTTTATCAAATAAAACTACTTAATGACTAAATATAAGAAAAAATAATTTTCAATTGTTGTTCGTATAAGTTGTTAAATTTTCATTTACATTCATGTTCGAAATGTCAAAAAAAATCAAATTAGGATTATTAAAAATGAATAGAGAGAATATTTTTTATATAACATAATGGATAATTAAAGTAAAGTAATAATGAAAAGGTTAAACAAAGAAAAAAAACTTTTGTATTCCTTGAATATATAAAAAATGACTATTAATATGAGACAATTTAAAAAAAAAAAAAAAACTATTCTAAGACAGAGGGAGTGCAACAAAAAGTTCAATGCTATAGCTAGTAAACATGGCCAAATTGTTGATTCAATATGCATTAGAAATTCACTCTTCGTGATATGCAGGAAGAGCAGTTTTGTTTTTGAAAAGTGAAAACCATAAAAGAAATGATATCCCCATGGGATGGGCTTCAATAACCTTTTTCATTGGGATCATCTCTGCCCATAGGATGGGTTTCATCATGTTACCATTATATATGAAAAGAAGGGACAAGAAATGGTAGAAGGGAGGAAGAATAATAATTAGGAAAATAAGTGGTACACTTTTATTTCAATATATTTGTCAATAGAATAGTGATCGGTACACTCTATATTTCAAGACTTGATTCAACACCTTCCGGTTTAATCATTAAAAAATTATTATTTTTTAGTTTGAAATTAAAAACAGACAAGTATAATGATACAATCATGCACACATGATACAAGAACCAACTGAATTGATTATATTTATATTATATTTTTAATGATTGAACCGAAATTGTATCAGAAAATGTGTTAAAAAATTATTATTTTTTAGTTTGAAATTAAAAACAGACAAGTATAATGATACAATCATGCACACATGATACAAGAACCAACTGAATTGATTGTATTTATATTATATTTTTAATGATTAAACCAAAAAGTGTTGAATCGGGTGTTGAACCGGACGGTGTACCAAACATTTTCGTTGTCAATACTCATAAGTTTAGTCATTAAATTTTACAATTGAAATTTTTTCTACCTTAAATTCAAATTTAAAAATAATAATTTCTTAATAAATATGTTATAAAAAGTGTTGAACTAAAAAATATACTAATTATTGTCTTAATAATTAAGAAAGGAAGTTGTGATTATCTTATTTTACTGTTGAACGATTAGAGAAATTAAGAGACCAAAGTCTGATTTTTTTTGTTAATGTGATCTATTCTATCTCACAAGTCACAGTAACCTATTTTGATTAAGGCCAAACTCCTATTTTTACCATGGATATTATCATTTTTTGTAATCAACACCCTCCAAAATTTTTACTTTTGTTAACACCTTCCATAATTTGAAGGGAAATGTTTAGTACACCCTCAGGTTCAACACCTGGTTCAATATCCTTCGGTTTAGTCATTAAAAATATAATATAAATACAATCAATTCGGTCGGTTTATTTATCCTATGTGCATGATTGTATCATTATATTTGTCTATTTTTAAATTCAGACTAAAAAATAATGATTTTTTAATGACTAAACCGGAAGGTGTTGAACCGAGTATTAAAATATAGGGTATACCAATCATTATCCTAATTTGAAACATGTAAAAAACCTAAAAGTTAACAACCAAACCCCTCATCTACACCCTAACTTGGTCTGTAATTTGGAGTTTTTTACGAGTTTCAAATTATGGAGGGTGTTGATTGGAATTGAAAATTTTAGATGGTGTTGATTGTGAAAAATAATAATATTTAGGGCACAAATAGGAGTTTTTGCCTTTGATTAATTGTCTAACGTATTCTAATTTTATGGAGGAAACTCAAATTCCTTGCCAACTTTGAAGACATAAAATATTAGAAATAGTTTAAATGTCAATTTTGGTCCCTCAACTTTAAAGTTTGCATAATTTTCATCTCTCAACTTTTTTATACATTTTTTTGGTCCCTTAACTATGAAAAATACACTTTTTTAGTTCTTCTATTAGTTAGTTCATTAAATATATCTGAATTTATATATTTTTAGTCCATCAACTTCTAACATATGTACATTTTTTATCCTTTAACTTAAAGTTGATAGATTAAAAATGTGCATATTTTGACAAATTTGATAGATTAACTAACAAAAAACTAAAAAACATGCATTTTCATAGTCAATGAAAAACAAAAGTACACAAAAAAAGTAAAGGATGAAAATTATGCAAATCCTTAAAGTTGAGGGATCAAAATTAAAATTAGCATGCTACTCTTGCTCTGATGACATTTTTGAATGTTTCATTCAATAATATGTGAGAAAGGTTACCATATAAAGGGCAGATTTTTAAACAATCGGCGATGAATCTTGAGAATTCTGGCCTTTGTGGCCATTCATTGGTAAGGGAATTGGCAAAACCCAAATGTTAAGCCCTTAAGACTTTTTCCATTTTGTCACATAAGCCCTCAAAGAAAAAAGTGGCATGAAAGCCCCTAAACGCCTGGATTTGAGTAAATTAACCCTTATGTTAACGGCATAATCACATGCACTCATGTAAGCTAAACAATTGTTTGTTTTTGTTCCCTTGCATGACAACTCCTTTGCACTTAAAAATTGATGTGACAATTTTTTTACACTTAAATACTTATGACAAATAACTCAAATCGAAGTGTTTAGGGACTTATATGTCACTTTTTTTATACGAGGGCTTATATGAGAAAATGGGCATTTACCAAGGGAATTTGATGAGGTTACTGATTAGTCATCTTGTTTCTTCCTAAGGCCACCTTATTTATACACTTGGGTACTATCGTTTTTGTGTTCCAATTTCTTCTTTCCCTTTGTATAAATGTGTAGGCTGGACTTTTTCGATTTCTGTTTCCCCTCTCCCTCTTCTGTTTCCCCTGTGAGGTTGCTCGTTCATTAATGAAATTATCATATAAGCATGAATCTCCTCAGAAAAAAAAAAAAAAACGATGCAAGAATACCTCTATTCCTAAATATGCTAATAAAAATTCAAGTTTGTTTAATGAAAATATATTTTAAGAATTCCACACAAAAGTGAAAGGATATTAAATTCAATATTAGTGTTGTAAAAAAAGTTAGACAACGGTGAAGCCTTCCATCTCCTAGCACCTAGGATTGCTTAAGTGTGCTCGGCAGTTTTTATTTTTTACTTTTAAAATACCAATAAATAGAAAAAGGTGAATAAATAATTGTATTAGGCGCGCCTAGGCGCCGTTTTATGCCCTCTAGGCGTTGTCCTAGGCATGCCTAATCACTCTAGCCCGAACCAAATCCCAAGGTCCACTGCCTAATGGCTAGGCAAGGTAGGAGACTGCTGCCTAATGCTTAGGCATGCTTTTTATGACATTATGATTATTGTTATAATATCGGACAAAATGATTTAATTTTGTGTATATGTCATTTCTTATGTTACCCCTTAATCACATTGAAATTGGATTGAAACTTACTTATTTAGACCTGTCTATAAGAAGGTTTCCCTGTTACTACCAGAGGACCAATACAAGACTAGGGAACTTGCGTGAAAGCTCAGGGTTCCCTTTTTACCAAAGGAACCAATTGCATGCAGCTAAAGACTGACTTTTTTCTTTTTTCTTTTTTTTCTTTTTTTTTTTCTTTTTTTGATGGGGGCAAAGACTTTGACCTTGAATGTAAATGATTCACGTAATCCAAATACCAAATTCTTTTGGCCAACCAATTGATTTTGCAGTTCGTAAATGTATATCTCTATCTGCTTTCTTTTCCCTATCCATAATGGACAACCAAGCAAAGACAAATGAAGGTTCAGCGACTGAGCGTTACATGGTCAAATTATTGATTTAATTAGCATTAGAAATTTCAGTTGACATGAGACTTTTGGTGATATTTTTTTATTTTTTATTTTCATCTTTAATTAATTATTTTTTACTAATTTTTTATCCATTTTCTTCTACTTATTTTACGAGTAACAACAGTTGCGGTATTACCATGCTGTGAAATTGTGGTTGCGTTTGAAATTTTGTGGCAGCCGAAACTCTTGACAAATCGGAGTTTGCTTACTGTATTTTCCAGGAAACATGGATACTATAAAAGCTCATGACTTTGCCATCTAATTCATTAATTATGGGCGGTGTGTTTTGGCTTTAAAAGCCGAAGCAATTTCGCAGTCCATTGGGCAAGAGCCAAACAAGATATTTGAGTGCTTTGTGAGAAAAAAAAACAGAGTGCTGAGAGTGTCTTGGTGAGGGTGAGCAAGAGCAGAGTTAAAATTTTTTGCTGAGTGATTTGAGTGCGAAATTTGCTGAGTGATTTGAATATGTTTCACATTTAAAAACATTGGAAGTGAGATTTAGGTGTATTTGGGATTGGGTATTAATTTATGTGAGTATCATAAATTATATTTCTTTATTTAATAGTGAATTTTTCTTGTGAGTATTCATAGATATAGATTTAATTAATTGAAGTTGAACTATATGAATTCTAAGTCTTTCTTGTGGTTATGCATTTTTTTTATTTCATTAATTTTTTTATCTCGTGGTGGTTAACCAAAATCTCAAGTGGTTTGCTACAACATTCTTGAACAACGAAGGTTTTCTCATGGAGATTACAGTTATTTACAGTTTCTTCTTGTTCTTTCTCTTGCTTATGTGCCTAAAGTGCCATGGTTGCATGGATGAAGAAAGGGATGCTCTCCAGCAAATCAGAAGTTCAATAAACAGTCCACAGGGAACTGCTTTTTCAAGTTGGTATGGGGAAGCCTGTTGCCAGTGGGAGGGTGTTGAGTGCAATCCATCGACAACTCGTGTCATTAGGATCAGCTTTCGCCATAGGAGGGACCAAAGCTTGCCTGAATTATGGTACCCAAATGCTACCTTATTTGCTCAGTTTAAGGATTTGCAAGAACTTAAACTACCTGGAAATCAAATTGGGGGATTCATTTCACCTAATGGTAAACATTATTAACTATATGTTCTTCGTTTCTTCTTGCTACTAATATTTGTTAATAGTGGGGGAAAAAGAGTAGAATAAGAAAGAGGAAAATTTGAGAGAGGAAAATTTTTTAATATTGTATTTTAACCTTGAAACAAAATTGAACAAAGTTTAGTTAGATAAAAGATATAGAGAAAGCATTCATCAACACATAAATTTTATATATTATAGTTATACAAAATTTTAATTATTTATTTATTTACATTTAATGATTGAAATTTATTTATATTTATTAAAAATAATTATTTTTTATCTAAAAATTGTAATAAATTTCAATAATTGAAAATAAAAAGGTTAATGGTTAAGATTTTGTGTAAGTATAATATATAAAATTTATGTATAAATGTATCTTTCTTCAAATATGAGTAGGCAAGATTTAAGATTATTATTATTTTTCTAATCATAGGCGAGAGTTAAGATGTAAATTCTCACTCAAACATTTTTTACTCTATACCAGTATCATCTATCCTGTCTCAAAAAAATCACAATAAACTAACATTATTCTAATTTTGTTGGGGAAACTATCAGAGCTTGCACGACTTAAGCAGCTTCAGAAGATTGATGTCCATGACAACTCCATAGAAGTTGGATCTCATCTCTGTTGGGGGAAAATTCCTCCACTTCGTTTCCTAGATTTGTCAAGAAACAAGTTACAGGGTAACATTCCAAAATGCATGTGTGAGAATCCCCATGTCAAAGAGCTCTTTCTGTCTGATAACTTTCTCATTGGAAACGTTGACGGATGCTTGAGAAATATGACTTCACTTAAATATCTGGATCTCTCTCATAATAGTTTCAATGGTTCCTTTCCTTCTTTGCCAATTAGCAACCTAACAAATATTCAGTCAGTTATTCTATCAAGAAATGAGTTCAAGGATAGGATTTCACTTTCCCACTTTGCAAATTTATCGAGGCTAAGTCTCCTTGACATCTCGTGGAATTCATTGGAAGTGGAAACCGAGTCCATAACTTGGATTCCTTCTTTCAATCTTTCCATGCTAAATTTAGCTGCTTGCAACCTCAAGACCATCCCCAATTTCATCTCCTCACAGAGGCACTTGGAATCAATAGATTTATCTTACAATTCACTGACAGGGAAGATTCCTTCATGGATGCTTGATAACGTCTCTAAAGAATTACAGCTAAGCGGCAATGGTTTCACAGGGCCGTTTCCTAAGTCCTTTCAAAATAGTTCACAACTTACTAGACTTGACATCTCTGACAATACTTTATCAGGGTCATTATCAGAAGATATTGGTCTGGATTTTCCAGAATTGCGTTATCTAAATGCTTCCTGCAATAGTTTCATTGGCAGGCTTCCTCCATCCTTCGATAGAATGAAAGAGCTTATCTTTCTGGAGCTATCAAGGAATCAATTCCATGGAGAAATCCCTTATAGCATGACAAGCAATATGAGCTCCCTTGAATACTTGGGATTGTCTCGAAACAACTTGACAGGAGACGCACTTCCAAATAATTCCAGCTTGCCTAACTTGAGGTATCTTTATCTTGGAAGAAATCACTTCATTGGAATCTTCCCAGATAGTTTGAGAGAGAGCAGGGATTTGCTGCTTCTTGACTTGACAGAAAACAGCATGTCAGGTGAGCTTTCATCATATTTGCCTGTTCTCCCTCAAATAATAATCCTCCTCCTTCAAGGAAACAATTTTGAAGGGCAAATACCAGAGCAACTATGCCAGATGAGACAATTACAAATTTTAGACCTTTCAAGAAACGGTCTTTAAGGTGGCATTCCGAAGTGTATTGACAATATTACTTCATGGACAGAAAACAGTCCTCACCAGTTTCCGCGGCACTCACTTGGATTATATAGAAACATTTATTTAGTCAATGTGATGGATCTATCCTGCAACAGATTGACAGGGACGATCCCTGTCCAAATGACACAACTGGATTTAATGCAAGCTCTGAACTTGTCCAACAACCGCCTCACAGGTCAAATTCCAGCAACCTTTGGAAACATGAGGCTCTTAGAAGCATTAGATCTTTCCCAAAACAATCTCTTGGGTAAACTACCCCGGGAACTATCGGCTCTTGCATTTCTGGCGGCTTTTGATGTTTCTTTCAACAATCTATCAGGCAGGATACCATTGGGACCTCAACTCAGCGCCTTTAGTAGTGAATCTTACATGGGAAATTCTGGCCTTTGTGGCATTCCACTGACTAACAACTGTGATGAGGTTTTAGAGAAGTCATCCCCACCTTCTGGCATTTGTGGCCTACCACTGGAGAAGGAATGTGATAAAGTTCTTGAGAAGTCATCCTGTTTCTTCCCAAATAAGGCCACCTCATATACTCTACTTCTACTGTATTTATGTGCGATTTCTCTTCTTTTTTCAGATTAAATGTGTAAGTCTGACTTTCAGATCTATTTTTTTGCCTTTCCCCTTACCAATTCTCCTTGTCGCAGAAAGCGGTGCAGGTTTATGAAAGAAAGGATCGTGTAAGCTTGAACTCGTTTAGAGTAAAAAAAGCAATGTCACAACATGGGTGTTTTTTTTTTCTCTTTTTTTGATAAATTGTGTAGTGTCATAACAATTTGTTTTCCAAGGAAATGTTTCAAGCACTCTATGCAGATTCCAGAGGACAAAATCAATACTCTTACACTGACAAAACTTGGTGCAATCGTTATTTTTCCTCTGAAATTTCAGTGTAAATTGTAATTTTGTTTTAATTCTTAAACAGTCGGAGTTTGCTAGGAATCTAGCACACTCCGATGCTCTTCTGTTTAGTTTAATTGCAGAATACATTTTAAAAAAAAAATTCAAGTTAATCGGAGAGCAAAAAGTAAAAAATGTATTAATCATGGTACTCTTCCCACTTCCATGCAAATTAAGATTCAAAAGTTGGAAATATTGTTAGAAATGTGGCACTCAAACCTGCAGAAATGATGAAATGGCAGCAGGGAGGCTGCAAATTGTCAGCAAATGAAGCTGCAATTTGACAGCAAATGTGGCAGCAATTTAGCCGCAAAAAGTATTAATGTTCTCGATGGCATGTTCCCCCAACAAAGCTGCTCAAAATCATCTTCAATTGAGTTGGATGAAAGATCCAGATGTTGCAATTAATCAAGTTTGCATAATGCTGCATCATGAATCCAGACTCATGATAAAAGCAATGGCTACACATAGGGACAACAAAAATTAGAGTGCAATAAAGAATAAATAAGAACCTCATCATCAGGGTTAATCAATCCACCAATGTTATTGCGTTGAAGATGTAACTCTTGCAATTCTTTGAGTTGAACAAACAAACTCATATCTGGAACCAATAACTCTTTATCTTCCCCAATGTTTTCAAAGAAAATCTTGACAACATGAGGGCTTGTGAGGCTACATTCAACTTCTTCCCACTTGCAACAATCATGAGAGTGTCGGCTTTAATAACGATATTCATCTCCATAGTCCATAGATTCTATTATTTGCCCAAGAGTCCTCCTCTTGTCATCGAGGCAACCACTGCACCATCCATTGTTGTGAAAGACCATAAGCACTACAAACAAAAACAGCTCGATACCATTAGTAGAGAAAATTTTCATGGTGGCAAATTATACAGTTTCAACTCTTTCTCTCTCTCTCCTCACTCAAGTAAATTAACCCTTGTTCCTAAGCAAGATAAACTTAAAAAAAAGGTGCAAAAAAGGTGCACCAATGTGCTATAGTGTTTCATTCTACCTTTCAAGCAGAGGAAATGAATAGTAGAAAAGCTTGAAATTTGCACTTTGCATAGAAATGAAGAGAGAATCCATTTAATTTCAAGGATATGTCATTTCTTATGTTATCCTGATATTGCATAGAAATTGCATCAAAACTTATGAATGTGGACCTGTCTATAAGAAAGTTTCCAGGTCACTACAAGAGGACCAATATAAGATGAGGGAAGTTGCATGAAAGCTCACAAAGTTCTTTTTTTCACCAAAAGGACCAATTGCATGCAAGCAAAGGCTCGATTTGAATCTAAATGATCCATGTAATCTAACTAATAAATTCTTTTGGACAATCAATTGATTTTCTACTTTGAAAATGTATATCTCTATCTATTTTCTTTTGCCTATCCATACTGGACAACCAAACAAAGACAAATGAAGTTTGAGCGATCCAGCAAGTGGATATGGTCAAATTATTGATTTAATTACCATAGAAATTTCACTTGACATGACTGGCAGAAAGAGAAACTTTGTTTATGCAAATTAGACAAGAAATGACACCTAATTAGGAAGCTCAACAATTTTAATGAAGAAAGAAGTGTTTCTTATGGAGATTACAATTACTTACAATTTCTTCTTGTTCTTTCTCTTGCTTATGTGCCTAAAGTGTCATGGTTGCAGGGTTGAAGAAAGGGATGCTCTACTACAAATCAAAAGTTCAATGAACAGTCCAGAAGGAACTGTTTTTTCATGCTGGTATGCAGAAGACTGTTGCCAGTGGGAGGGTGTTGAGTGCAATCCATCCACAATTCGTGTCATTAGGATCAGCTTTCACCGTAGGAGGGATCAAAGCTTGCCTGGATTATGGTACCAAATGCTACCTTGTTTGCTCAGTTTAAGGAATTGCAAGAACTTGAACTATCTGGAAATCAAATTGGGGGATTCATTTCACCTAACGGTTAATACTGTGAACCATATGTTCTTTGTTTCTTCTTGCTACTAACATTTGTTAAAAGTGGGGAAAATAGAGTAGAATAAAAAGAGGAAAAATTGAGAGAAATTTTTTTAATATTTTATTTTATTGTTGAAACAAAATTGAACAAAGTTAGATAAAGATATATGTTGCTCGGATTTAGGATGATTATAACCTTTTTAATAGACAAGATTTAAGGTGTAAAGCATTAAAATTTTTTCAAGGCTCCTGTGCATGCTAAAACACGCCCAAAATTTCCAAGGCTTCTGTGGTGGCCATTGTCATAAATCCAAAAAATAATGCCACCTTTTTGTTTTAATCAAACTTCTAAATCATAACAGCAATTAATTGCCCTATCCCACCATCCTGACATTTTCCAGCATATATCATAGAACCCAACGCCTCTTGCAAACTGCAGGGTTTCTAAAAGAACAAAAACAGAGAAATAAACTTATTAGGAACACAAACAATGGACAATTTCCCAACCCAAAAGCAAAGTTCACAGAAACTTTCAAACCTAGAGTAGAATGTATGGTGATACAACTAAAATTCATATGCTGAGCTAGTAGTTTATGTGGAGTCGTGGACTATTGATTTTTACAGAAAGATACAAAGTTTCCTTCTACTTGGATTTCTCTTTTTCTATTGTTATATGTTCCTCTTTTCCCTTTTAATTTTCTATTTGTTAGGGTTTTTTTCTCACAACTAGAAAATCTCACCCACCCCTAGTAATTTAAGGATTTCTCGTACTAACATGAGAATTAAAAATTAAAATGAAAATCAGATATAATTTTTAAGCAGAGATTCACGAGTAAGAACAAAGAACGATGAGTACCTGCATGCAGGTTTCGTCCCAGTCATGACCGAATCAGATGACCACCAGCCGCTCTTCCACCGCCAGGATGGCCTGATCCACAGCCCATCCTGAGTGCAGATACAGTGGCAAATACTACATCCCTCTCTTCGCTCAAATCTCCTTCGCTGCCCGGAATTCTTGAAACTGGAAGCACCAATTCTCAGCCCTGCTTCTCTTTCCCTTTTTTTTTTTTTTTTATCAGCACCTCCTAACCGTGCAACACTTGCGAACCCGATAAATCTCCTTTTCCAATATCCGATGGCTGTTCTTATCTCCGTGCTTTCACCTCCGCTTTCAGGTGGCTGGGGCTCTTAGATGTTCTTTACTAAGAAGGGATCGCCGGCGCAAGCGCCAGAGAGGGAGCCCGGTGGTTTATGCGGCAGATCTCCGAGAAGGGAAAAGGGAGGTGGAGAGGAGAGCTTGTACGTCGGTGATGGTAGGCTGAGAGAGGGTGGTAATGGTGACTGTGCTGGCAGCTGGAAATTGGGTTCTCTTGTGTGAACGGCGGTAGTATGGAAGGGGATCGGCGAAGGATCTACGGAGAGGCATTGGTTTCCTTCCCGTGAATGTGGCATGAGACAAGTTTTTTTTTCCTTTTTTTTTTTTTTTTTTTTGGTTAAATCACCAATTTGAGTCCCTCAACTCTCGGTTTTGGGCCAAATTCATCCTTAAACTTGAATTTTCCTTTTTAGTCTTTTGGTTAGTTAAGTGCTAATATGACAAAGTTTTTAATTAAGTAATTCAATTTTTCAGATTTTAAGTGTTACTAGGTGGAAAGTCAACATTCTAATGTGTTCAATTTTTATGGGACATATAACTGACTATTAATGAGTTATTTGAAGCAAGTACAACGAGGAGTTCCATTTGATGTTCTTTTCAAAAAGAGAATAGACCATCAATTTGTAAACCATTGGAGCATTAGCTGAGCTCTCTGCACTAAGCTTAGCTCTCTTAAATTTTTTTACCCCTTTTGAGGCAAAACTCTATGCTGATTGACATAATGTCAGGCAATGCAAGATTTAAAGGCAGCTGTTGGATTGACTGATACAATGTTAAGCAATGTAAGTTTTAAAGGGAGCTGTTATACATAGCAATCCGAAGGTTGCCATTCCTATCTTTAAATTTTTTTTTTTTCAAATTTTTTAATTAAAATATTTAAATATGAATTAAATAAAATAAAATAAAATTAATATAATTTTTGAAAAAGTTTTGTTTAAATATATTTATTGAAAAAGAAGTATTTGATTAAATATTTTATTTTAAAATTAAAAATATAAAAATATGAATTTATATAAAATAATATTAATCTTTATAATGTGCGATCAAAGTGCGCATTTTCAATGTTCCTCGTACATGCTTTTAGGTGGACGTTCAACATACTGATGTGCTCATTTTCTATGACCTATTTATTACAAGTTTAATTATTTTATAAGTTAAAATATATAAAATTACAAATCTATCCATCACTTCTTCTTCCCCCCAAGCTAAATGCCTTCTCTCTCCTCTCTGTGTTAACTTTTTTTTTTTTTTTAGTCCTTCCCTTTCTTCCTCCTATCTTTGGCACTAACAAACTCTTCCTCCCTTTTCTTCTTTAGGTCAATGATCTCCTCTTTCTTTCTCCTTTCATCGATGCCATATGCATCCTTTCTTTGTGATTCTGTCTCTTGTTCCACTTCCTCTCATCCACAATTTGGGTTCACCACACCAAATTAATCTAGGTTTTCTATACAGCAAGGAATCCAAATCATAGGGCGAAAACCTAGATCAATTTAGTTTCTCTGAGTGGCTAAGAATCCAAATCGATTTGGTTCTTTAAGCAGTTGGGAACCCAAATCTGGATTCTCCAATGCCTATGCACACAAATGGCAAAAATCAACATTTAACCTCTCACCTTATAAAATTGATAAGTTTTAACATTTTATCTTATATTATGATTTTTTAAGCCCATCATCGATATGAATTAAAGAAAATATCCTTAACCTAACATTAGGTTATAATATTCTGTTAATTCTATTAGTTGACTGTTAACATCTATTACCATTTTGTTATAAAAAATATGAAATTTAAATTCAATTTTATTTGTTAGTTTTATTAATAGAATATTAATGGATGCTAATAGTCAACTAACAGAACTAACAATCAGTTAATAAAACTGACAGTCAACTAACAAAATAGACAGTTAACTAACAGAACTAATAAAACATTAAAACCTAATGTTAAATAAAGGTTAATTTTTTCAATTCGTATAAATAAATGGTTAAAAGTATCATAATATAAGGTGAGGGATTAAAACCTACAAACTTTGTAAGGTAAAAAGCTAAAAGTGTCATATTATAAGGTTAGAGACTAAAACCTATGAATTTTGTAAAGTAATGGGCTAAATGTTGGTTTTAGCCTCGTACAAATAGTGTAATCTTTTTCATGGTCATGATGGATTTGTGGCCTAGGGATCTCAATTGGACATTTTCATAATGGAAGGTTTAATGGACATGTGGTTTAGGGATTTCAATGATTAGTTTCAAGACAACTTTTTTCTAATGAATTTGTGGTTTTTAATTGGGAATATATTCTTGTTCATGATCTTGCTGGTTTGTTGACTTTGAGAAGTAAAGATTAAATGAAAATTGATTTTTTTTCCCCAAGATTATGATGGTTAAAAATTCTAGCAAAGTTTCTTGAATTTTTCCATTTAGATGAGAGAAGGTGGAGCACCAGAAAAGGATGAATCGGTGGGGGAGAAGCAACAAAAGTTTGCTATGGTTCTTAGAGTTATAATGAATGGAGGTTTTCTTTTTTGCTTAATTTTTTAATTATTTAATTTAATTTCTAGAACAAATACTAGGCAATTATATCGAAATAATCTTTTTATACAATTTTTTTAAACAATTTATATATGTTATTAAATGAATAAATACACTTAATATTACAAGTTTTAAATAAATAAAAAAATTCAATCACTTAAATGACATGTAAAGTTATACAAAAAATTAGTATAAAAAATTATTTTTAATCATTTTCCAATAAATAATATTTTGGCCTATGTGTTTCTTTTTCCACGTAAGTTTTTGTGATTCAAAAGAGCAATTCGTGGCAAAAATGTGCCACCTAGGGACTTCGACCAAGTTGGGAACGGAAAAATAAAATTTAAAAACAAATTTGGTAATTTTGTAAGTTTAAGGATTATCTTGGTCTAGAATTAAAACTTGAGAGATCAACTGGGTGATTTAACTTTTTTTTGGACGTGATTTTGGATTTGGTTCAACATACTTGGTTTGTTTTGGTTGGATTTTGAGAAGGGGTGAGCAGCTAAAAGTATGGCTTAGGCCGCTGTTATACTAGCATTTAACTTGAAAATTAGCAAGTATAATGTTTATGTACCAGCTACTTACTCGGGTATCAAATCTTTATGGTTGTTATCCTACCTGCTTGAGACAGGTATACTTGCATATCCATTAAAATTATAATTTTTTATACAAATTAAAATATAATTAAACTTATTAGAAAACACATACTTTAATCCATATATAATACATGTGCAAAAGGAAATTCATGAGTTCATATTTATAACAGTTCATATTTATAACAAAATATGTAAGATGAACACAAATACAAATTTATATATATAATAAAATACTGAAATTCATACACTTACACTATTACACAAATACAAGTTTATAATATAACAAATATATACAAACAGAAATCCACAGAATGTGGGAATTCTTTAAATGGAATTTGCGCTGTTGAAGAAAAAAAGCATTTACGTTAGTTATACTTTGTTTGAGGCGGTCGCTTGAGCTGAAAATGGGCTTGAGAAGGCTTTAGACTCGGGCTTTGTTGACAAACTTGGGCTTGGCCTTAAACTTTAATTTGATTCCCTTTGATATATTTTCCTCTTCTAATATAATTTTTAAACATTAA